TTTATGTGTCTGTTGGCCATCTGTATGTCTTCTTTGGAAAAATGTCTATTCAGAACTTCTGCCCATTTTAATTGGATTATCTTTTTGGTGTTAACTTGTGTAACTGCTTTGTATATTTTGGATCTTAACCCCTTATTGGATATATCATTTGCAAATATCTTCTCCCATTCAGTAGGGATGCCCTTTTGTTTTGTTGATTGTTTCCTCTGCTATGTAAAGGCTTTTTATTTTAGTGTAGTTGCAATAGTTTATTTTTGCTTTTGTTTTCTTTCCCTGAGGAGACATATCCATAAATATGTTGCTAAGGCCAATGTCCAAGAGATTACTGCCTGTGTTTTCTTTTAAGAGTTTTATGGTTTCAGGTCTCATATTTAGGTTTTCTTTTGTGGTTTTATTTGAGTACTTACTATATTACTTCATTTTCTCTCCTTTCTTACTGTATCTGTTACACTTTTTTCGTTTTAACTTTTATTAGTGGTTTTCCTAGAGTTTTTAATATACATTTCCAATTAATCCAAGACTATTTCAAATAATACTGTTATGCTTCACAGATAGTGCAGGTACCTTACAATAGCAAAATATAATCCTAATTCTTCCCTTCTGTCTTTTGTGTCATGCTTTTATTCATTTCATTTATATATAGCATATACATGTATATATATGCATACATATATGTGAGCATACATAATTGCGTTGTCGCTATTATTTTGAACAACTTGTTATCTGTTAGATCAATTAAGAATAAGAAAAATAAAGTTTTAAATTTTGCTTTCACTTATTCCTTCTCTAGTACTCTTGCTTTCTGGGTTTTGGAACTATATCATTTTCCTTCTCTCTAGAGAAGTTCTTTTTAACATTATCTATCTGCAAGGCAGGTCTACTCACAACAGATTGCCTCACTTTTGCACATCTGATAAAATCTCCCATTTCTCCTTCACTTTTGAGGAATAATTCACAGGCTATGGAATTCAAGATTGGTGATTTGTTTGTTTGTTTGTTTAAGTAGGCTCCATGCGCAGCATCGAGCCCAATGCAGGCCTTGAACTCAGGACCCTGAGCTGATATCGAATTGGATGCTTAACTGATTGAGCCACCTAGGCGCCCCAGTGGTTTTTTTGTTTTTACATTTTAAATGTTTCATTCTAGGGGCCTGGATGGTGCAGTCAGTTAAGCGACAACTCCTGGTTTTGGCTCAGGTCATGATCTCAGGGTTGTGAGATAGAGCCCTGTGTGGAGCTCTGCACTCAACTTGGAGTCTGCTTAAGACTCTCTCTCCCTCTCCTTCTGCCCTCAACCCCTGCGGGTGCACGTGCACACACACTGTCTCTAAAATAAATAGATAAAATATTAAAAAAAAAATAAATGTTTCATCTTATTCTCTTCTTGTTTGCATGGTTTCTGAGAAGTTGGATATAATTCTTACCTCTGCTCCTATATAGGTAAGGTGGGTTTTTTCCCTATGTCTTCTTTGACGTTTTTCTTTCTTTATCTTTGGTTTTCTGTAGTTTGAAAATGAGCTGTCGGGGTTCCTGGGTGGCTCAGATGGTTAAGCATCTGCCTTCAGCTCGGGTCGTGATCCCAGGGCCCTGGGATTGGACCCTGCATCAGGCTACTAGCTCAGTGGGGGGACTGCTAAAAAAGAAAAAAAAAAAGAAAATGAGCTATCTGGGTGTAGTTTTTTGGGCACTTATCCTGCGTGGTGTTCTCTGAACTTCCTGGATCTGTGGTTTGGTGTTTGACATTAATTTGGAAAAATTTTCAGTCATTAGTGTTTCAAATATTTTTTTTTCTGTTCCTTTTTTTTCTTTTCCTTTTCTGTTTTTTGTCTTTTTGATATTCCTGTTACATATGTGTTACACTTTTTGTAGTTGTCCCACAGTTCTTTGATATTCTATTCTTTTTAAAAATCTTTTTCAGGAGTGCCTGGGTGGGTCATTTGGTTGACCATCCAACTCTAGGATTCAGCTCAGATCATGATCTTGAGGTTATGGAATCGAGCCCCGCATTGGGCTCTGTGCTCAGTGCAGTCTGCTTCAGATTCTCTCTCCCTCTCCTTCACTCTTTTTCTCAAGTAAATAAATAAAATCTTAAAAAAAAAAAATCTTTGTCAGTCTTTTTTTGGTTTGCTTTTCAGTTTTGGAGATTTTTACTGAGCAATACATCCTCAAGCTCAGAGATTTTTTTCCTTAGTCATGATTAGTTTACTAATAAGCCCATCAAAGACACTCTTCCATTTTTGTTACACATTTCATTTTGCTTCTTTCTTAGAATATCCATCTTTCTGGACTTATTATGTATCTGTTCTTGCATACTGGCTACTTTGCCCATCAGAGTCCATGGCATATTAATTGTAGTTGTTTTAAATTCCCAGTCTGATAATTCTGTTATCTCTGCCATATCAGAGTCTGGTTCTGATGCTTGCTCTGTCTCTTCAAGCTGGTTTTTGCCTTTTCGTACACCTTATAATTTTTTCTTGCTGGCTATACATGATATACTGGGTAAAAAGAAGCTGCTGTAAATAGACCTTTATTAATGTGGTGTTAAGGTACTGGGGCAAATGGAAGTGTTCTATAGTCTCATGATGAGGTCTCATTTTTTTAGTGAGCCTGTACCTCTGGACTGTGAACTTCATAAGTGCTTCTTAGTAGTTTTCTCCCTCCCCCACATGGAAGGTTAGCCTGGGCTAGAGTTGGGTATTTCCCTTAACCTAGGCTTGTTAGGCTTTGAAAGAATCCCCATAATTTAGGTTCTGTTAAAATAGTTTTTCTTGAAAAGGCAGGCCTTAGGGCGCCTGGGTGGCTCAGTCGGTTAAGCAGCTGCCTTTGGCTCAGGTCATGATCCCGGGGTCCTGTGATCGAGCCCCACGTCGGGCTCCCTGCTCAGCGGAGAGCTTGCTTCTCCCTCTCCCTCTGCCTGCCTCTCTGCTTACTTACGCTCTCTATTTCTCTGTCAAATAAAATAAATAAAATCTTAAAAAAAAAAAAGGAAAAGGCAGGCCTTAAGAATAACAGAATGCTCCTGGGGTGCCTGGCTATCTTAGTAGGTAGAGCATTTGACTCTTGATCTCAGGATCATGAGTTCAAGCCCCACGTTTGGAGTGGAGCCTACTTAAGAAAAAAAAGAATAACAGTACTCTGATGTATTTCAGAATGGTACTTTTCCCCCTCTTTCTGGAAGAATCAAAAAGGGGTTTTTCTCTGATATTCACTGTGATGGCCTGGTAGAGTTCTTGAAGGTTAAACTCATAAAGTGTGGTGGTCCCCCTATGACTGGATCCCTCATAATAGTTTTTAAAATACTGAAATGGCTCCCTATCTTCTCTGAAGGTGATTGATTCCCTCCCTTCCCCTCCCCTCCCCTCTCCTTCCCTTCCCTTCCCTCTCTCTCCTCCTCTGCTTCCTCCCCCTCCTTCTTCCTTCTTTTTTCTCCTTCACCATGGATTTAAACACATTCGATGGGATTCAGTCTGTTGCAATTCTTATACTTGCTAAAGCTCAAACTACCCCATCATTGGCCATTAGGAGTCTCTTCAGGTTGGCTCCTGAGTCTTTTTGACATCACTCAAATAGTTGTTGATTAGTTTCTTTATTGCCTTATAAAACCCAAGAACATCTTGAAAAATTTCTGTCTCAAACATGAAATATTTCCATGAAGTCTGGTTTCTTTCATTGGGAAGTAGTATTTCAAAACTATGATCTGGACTCTTGGGATGCTCATTGCTACTGTTTGGTCTTTGTTTCTGGGTCTTTTCAGTGAATAGTAATAGAAAATAGAGATTGGGAATCATGGTTTTCAAGGATATAGGGGCGATGGAATGTTCCATAATTACTCACTTATTTTATCATATTATATATCTGACAATTTCATAATAACAAAACTAATACATCCATCACCATTATTACTGAAAAGAGTTAACATTTTTTTCATATGCTCTTCATTTCTTGATAATTATGCTCTATAAGTTATCAGGTCATATTGCCATTATGTACTATAATTTTCTTCCTTTTCATCATCTTTTGGTCTACAAGTTACTACTTAATGCTCATCTCTAGCCCTCATGTCAATATTCCTCTAATTATATTGGCTCTTTGAAGCTTATTCTCTAGTAGATTTCTCTAGAAAGACTCATGAAAGCATTATTCTCTGAGTTTTTTCATGATGATAGTGTGTATTGTTTATACTTGAAAATTAGTTTTACCAGCTGTAAAATTCTTGGCTCTCATTTTATTTCCTTGAGTATCTTAACTTTTTTTTCTGGCATAAAGTGTTGCTTTGGAAAATCTGTTGATAATATAATTTTCTTTTCTGATAAGTTACTTGACATTTTGGCCCAGATGCTCAAATAGTTTTTCTTTTAAAAATTCTGTAATTTTACTATAATATCTCTTGGTGTTATTTTCCGTCCATATCCTCAAGTGTATGTATTGTATATGCCTTAAACATACAGTTTTATTTATTTATTTATTTATTTATTTATTTATTTATAAAAGATTTTATTTATTAGAGAGAGACACAGCGAGAGAGGGAACACAAGCAGGAGGAGGGGGAGAGGGAGAAACAGGCTTCCTGCTGAGCAGGGAGCCCGATGCGGGGCTCGATCCCAGGACTCTGGAATCATGACCTGAGCTGGAGGCAGACGCTTAATGACTGAGCCACCCAGGTGCCCCAAGCATATAGTTTTAAATCTTATTTTAGGAAAATTTGCTTGAATTAGTTTTTAATGTTTTTGTATAGTTTTTTAGTGTTTAGTTCCCTTTCTTGGGGTTTCTTCAGTGATTACTATTTTATATAAAAGTTAGAAAAATTTTTGTCACTTTTCCTAGAATCCTTTTATTTCTTCATTAAATTTTTTGAAATTTATTTTTAGGATTAGACTCCTTTTCACATTACCTGTCATGTTAATTTACTCTTGTGCTCCTTTGTTTTTAGTCTTTATATCTGAAATAAAATTTTTAAAATTCTTTTTTTTTATATAAAGATTTTATTTATTTATTTGACAGAGAGATAGACAGAAGAGCACAAGCCGAGGGAGTGGCAGAGGGAGAGGGAGAAGCAGGCTCTGCACTGAGCAGGGAACCCGATGCGGGACTCGATCCCAGGACCCTGAGATCATGACCTGAGCCGAAGGCAGACGCTTAACCATGTGAGCCACCCAGGCACCCTAAAATTTTTAAAATTCTAATTCTTTTTTGAGTCATGTTTTTACTTTTCTGAGTTTCTCCAGTTCTGATGTTGTTTTTCATGCCTTATATAATTTACTTAATGCTTCTACCTTTTTAGTAGGTTATAGTTATTATCAGTTTTGTGTTGCTGCTCTTCTGGTTTTGCTTTAGTTGTGTGTAAGGATGTTTTTTTAGCCTTATAATAACTTGTTTGAGATTTGAATCTGGAAGCTTTCTCATGGGTCATTTTGAAATTAGTTTTCCTGGAGTGTTAGAAGGAAATATAATGATTCAGGAAAGCATTTTTAACCTGACAGAATTGTTTTCGATTATGTTTGAGAAGATGGCCAGTCCTAGTTCTATCACTGTCCCTTACTCCTCCTTGAGCCTTCTCTTTCCATTGTCTCAGTTATACTTTTTCTGTTCAATTTTGTTTTTACTCCCAGCAGTTTCTTCTTTAGTGCAAGGCTCTGTCCTGGAAGGGAGGCCTCATTGGGTATTTTCCCAGTTCAGAAAGGTTTGGCTACCATGTCAGCTTCAAACCATTTGCTGTTAGGCTCTGGATCATCAACTCTTGCACCCTCCCCAGTTTTATACGTACTTTCACATTTCCCTGCTGTTCTCTCCAGTGAATACTTACTTGCTGTTTAGCTTATAGAGGTACATGCTAACAAGCAAACTGGATTTTACCCCTGTCAGTGTCCCAGAATTGTAGGTATTCGTTTTATGTAACAGGGTAAGAGTTCAGGCTAAACACTGGTTTAAAAATCTGTATAAGAAACAGTTATGCCCTGGAATCTGTGGCTTAGATCTTCTGTCTCACATTTGTCCACATAGCCAGGTGCCTGCCTGTGAAAATGACTTTTTAGTGCTCTTTCACATCCACTTCTCCTTTCATTCCAAGCATATGGGAACATTTAATCCCTTTGTTTCCTTGAAGTTAGGTGGTATCACATGACTGATCTGGCCAGTGGTCTTTGAGGGGAAGTGCGTGTTGCTTCTAGGTTGACATAGTGAAAGGCCCATGAAGATTCTCTGTTTTGTTTTGTTTTTTTCTTTAAACTTAAGAAGTACTTAGCCATGTGTTTCATTTGAAACAAGAACAAGATGGTCAGCCTGGATGACTATGAAGCAGACCCTGCCTGCCCGTGTTGGACATTTCACATGAGACACAAGTAAACTTTTGTTACGTTGAGCCATTGAAATTTTGGAGTCATTTGTTACCCTAGCATGACTTGGACTATACTATCTAATATGGTAGCCACTAGCCACATGTAGCTGTTGAATACTTAGCATGTGGCTAGTCTTAATTGAGATGGTGCTAAATCTCAGGTATAAATCTAAATGTAAAGTACACACCAGATTTGGAAGTGTGAAAACATGGAAAATATCTTAATAATAATTTTTATTTATTACATTGAAATACCATTTTAGATCTCTTGGGTTAAATATATTAAAATTAATTTCAACTCTTTTCTCTTTTTTCATGATGGTACTAGAAAATTTAAAGTTATTCATGTGGTTGCATTTATAGCATTTTGTTTATTTATTTTTTTTAAGATTTTATTTATTTGAGAGAGAGAGAGAATGAGAGACAGAGAGCATGAGAGGGAAAAGGGTCAGAGGGAGAAGGAGACTCCCTGCTGAGCAGGGAGCCCGATGTGGGACCTGATCCCGGGACTCCAGGATCATGACCTGAGCCAAAGGCAGTCATTTAACCAACTGAGCCACGCAGGTGCCCCTATAGCATTATATTTATCTTGAACAGTGCTAGACCCTTCCTGGACTTAGTGTCCTAGCAGAAGTTGGGTGTTTGATTGTCTAGAGAAACTACACCAGTGAGATCCCAGATTTGGAGAGAATACAGAAGAAGAGTACTCTATAAATGGGATTAAGCAGAAGTCTATCTGCTGGATCATGAGCTCTGTCCTTACTTTCTGTCCATGTCCCTTTCCTTACCTATTTGTAGAACACTGGCAGTCAGAGGAGACTGGAGGACTCATTTCTAAGAAACTGAATGACTCCAGAGAAGAGAGCAACAGAGCCCGACATTTGAGGGTCTCCATATGTGCATAGGCAGGTGACGGCCCAGTTACACTATGGGGAAGCCCACTAGTTAACAAGCCCCTCCTGTACCCACAGTGTTGTCCAGTCAGGGTCCCTGTGTTTCACTCTTACGTGAACAGTACCCGATTGCTACTTATTTTTTTTAAAGCTGCTTTAGAAAGGTATTTGTACTAAAAATACCATGTTTTGTAACAATCAACCTGTTTAAGGAAAACTTTTCAATTATACAAAGTTTATATGTATATAAAAAAGTATATGCAAAGATCTTTGCAACTTGATTTTCCCTAGAAAACTGCCTTGTTATTGTCAAATTTGAAATTTATGCTTGAACTCTGATGCTTCTTTTGATGATTCATGTCATCTCCTAGAAGTGATAGCACATCAACTTCATAGACTCTTACAGTGGTTGTTATCCTAGGGATTACTAATAGGGGAATAATCTCCAGGCATACCATGGATTCTCTTGTGTTTGAGTGGTGCAGCTTCATGTGCATACTAACTGCGGGGAAGAAGGGATTTTCCCAGCTTCCTGCAGTGCTTTCTGTTATGGTCATGCGGTCGTTAGATCGTTATTACGAGTTCTGGCAAATTAGTGGATCCAGTTGCTTTCCAGCATTTTGTACCACTACTCCAAACCTCTCTCCCTGTGCCTAATCTCCACCTTTCCAGTTTTGGAAGATAACTTCACTTTATATTTTCTAGAGAAGTTTGAAAGTGGCAAATGTACGTTTGCTTTCTTTTCTCCATCTCAAAGATCTCTTTTTATGAGTTTTTTTCCTTCTCTCTCTTCTCTTTCACAAGTAGTGTTTCCCTTTTTCTAAGGCTAAGTCTTTATCTTCTGAGACCTTCCTCTCATCTCTCTTTACATCTTTGACAATTTTCAGTTCAATTACAACCCTGATCAAATTCCCTTCAAATTAAAAACAAACCAGCAAAATCTTCCCTTGACACTGCTATTACCTCGAGGCTATATGCCATTCTTTTCACCTCCAAACCTCTCAAAATGTCAGTTTGTACCTGAATAGCACCTGCTTTTTGTTTTTTTTTTTTACATCTACCCTTCCATTGTCACTGAATTTGTCTGTGACCCATTTAGCAAATTGAGCAGCTTCTTCCATATTTTATTACTTGTCCCTTTTGCAGTATTTGGAATTGTTACTATCTTTCTACCTTTTTTTTTTTTTAAGAACTTCACTTAAATTTGCCTTGCAGTACAAAATATGGAAAATGCAGAAGAGTATAAAGAAGATAATTATCCATTGTAATACCACCTCTCAGAGATACCCAGTATTAAATTTGGGGCTATATCTGTTCCATCTTTTTTTTTTTAATGTATTACAACAAAAGCAGGTTCATACTGTATATGTTTGTTTTTTTTTAAGATTTATTTTATTTATTTATTTTAAAGAGAGAGAGAAAGAGAGCTCCCAGTGAAGGGCAGAGGAGGAGAGAGGAAAAGGGAGAGAATCCCAAGCAGACTCTGTGCTGACCAAGGAGCCCAAGGTGGGGCTCCATCTCATGACCCTGAGATCATGACCTGAGCCAAAACTGAGTCAGATGCTTAACTGACTAAGCCACAAGGCGCCCATGTATCTATTGTTTTTTTGATACCTGATTTATTTTTCTATTTTAATATATTGTGAGTATATTTTCAAGTACTTATTCTTCTGCAGTATAAATAGTGGCCATACAAACTGGCAGTATTGAGACTGCCCAGGTTGGAATCCTGGCTCCAGGTCCGCACTAGCTGTGTGACCTTGAGCAGAATACTACTCTGGGTTTCAGTTTCCTCATCTGGAAAATGAAGATGGCATTCTTTCCTAATACCTAGGATTGTTGTAAGTAATAAATGAGATAATACATAAAAAATAATTCTTGGCAATTAATAAATGTTAGCTATCATTACTATAGAATATGAATTTACTATAGTTTACTTAATTATTTCTATTTTGTTTTGTTATCATTAAAAATGTTACAAGACCATCCATATAGCTAAATGCACATCACGATTCTTGGTAGATTTTTATTGGTGAAATATAAAAATCTCTCTTAGTGAAATTAATACACTTATCGCGCAGTTCACCCATTTAAAACGTACACTTCAGTGGGTTTTTAAAAAATTTTTTCTTATGTTAATCACCATACATTACATCATTAGTTTTTGATGTAGTGTTCCATGATTCTTCAGTGGTTTTTAATACATTCACAAATATGTGCAACCATCACCAGCCATTTAGAACATTTTCATCCCCTCAAAGTGAAACCTCATACCCTTAGTTGTCACCTCCCTTCCATAATTTTATTTTAATACAGTATTTTATATTTATTCTGCTGTTATATCATGCCCAGTTGGTCGAGGATTTGGAAAGAGAAAGTACAGTAGTCCCCCCTCATCCACAGTTTCATTTTTTGCACTTTCAGTGACCTATGGTAAACCCATGTTGGGAAGCAGACGTCAGGTCAGTAGCCTAACACTACGTCACACTTAGAATATATTTACTTGGCACTGTTCTAAGTGCTCTACCTACATTAACTCCTTTGATCCTCACCTTTTAGACACATGCAATTATTTTCCCTGTTTTACAGATTGGGTATGGATGAAGTGAAGCAACTTTGGGTTCAAAGTATTATAACAGGTAAGTGGTGGAGCCAGGATTCTAACCTTGGTACTCAGTCTGACTGCAGAGGCCATGCTCGTAATCCTGTATTCTTCTCTTAATCCTCTCCTTCTGGAAGAATGGTGGTTGGATTTCAAACATCTTGACATCTTGGCTTTTCTATATCCAGAAGTCTTCATGCTTGATTGGAAAGAGAACTAAAAGGAATATCGATGTCTGCTATGGACATGAGCTTCAGGGTGGCTGTGTATTTATCATCTGGGGCAGGCCACACATGGATTATCCTGCTCCACCAC